CCCTTGCTGAGTCAGGTAAAACCAATACATGTCTTCTTTCTTCTTCCTCTCAATGGGTCATTGATTTTGGTGCAACAGATCATATGACAGGTAATCCTGGCACTATCAATCCCACACCAACACTTTCTTTGTCATCCATATTGAGTTTACCAAAATTTTCTTTTAATTTGGTATCTGTTAGCAAACTCGCTCGTACTCTTAATTGTTGCATCTCATTCTTTCCTAATCATTGTTTGTTTCAGGATCTTATGACGAAGAGGATTATTGGTAAAGGACAAGGATCAGGAGGTTTGTACATTTTGGATACCCAGGAACCCTGGACCATTGCCTGTTCCAGTACTTTATCTCCTTTTGAAGCTTGTTGTCAGTTGGGGCATCCATCTTTACCTTTGTTAAAGAAGTTATSTCCTCAGTTTCATGATGTATCTTCTTTAGATTGTGAGTCTTGTCAGTTTGCAAAACATCATCGTCTATCGCCTGTTTCTCGAGTTAATAAAAGGGCTAGTCATGCTTTTGAGTTAGTACATTCAGATGTTTGGGGACCTTGTCCCATTATGTCTAAGACTGGATTTTGATATTTTGTTACCTTTGTGGATGATTTTTCTCGTATGACTTGGCTTTATTTAATGAAATCTCGTTCTGAGTTGCTTTCACATTTTAAAACCTTTTGTGCTGAAATAAAGACCCAGTTTGATGTGTCTATACAAACATTGTGAAGTGATAATGCCAAAGAATATTTCTCTGGTTCCTTTCAGACTTACATGGCTCATAATGGAATTCTACATCAATCATCTTGTGTTGATACTCTATCTCAAAATGGAGTGGCTGAGAGAAAAAATAGACATCTTCTTGAAACTGCCAGGGCTCTTTTATTTCAAACACATGTTCCTAAACAGYTTTGGGCTGATGTTGTTTCTACAACATGTTTTTTGATTAATCACATGCCCTCCACTGTTCTAAATGATCAAATTCCTTATAAGATTCTGTTTCCTAATAAATTTGTGTTTCTTGTTGAACCTCGTATCTTTGGATGTTCTTGTTCTGTTCATGATGTTCATCCACAGGTTTCCAAATTGGACCCCAAGTCATTAAAATGTGTCTTCCTGGGATACTCTCGTCTCCAAAAAGGGTATAGGTGTTTTTCTCCTCTCTTGAACAGGTATCTTGTGTCAACTGATGTTACATTCTATGAACATTTTCCTTTCTTTACCGCTCCATCTACACCTATATATCCACAAGAGGATGATGATCTACTAGTGTATCATGTCACTAGTCCAGACGCTAGTGTTGCTCCAATACCCCCACCCCCACCTTCTCAATCAAAACCACCTATTACTCAAGTCTATTCTCAACGACCTAATCCTCCTGTGACAAGTCCGGCACCGATCTCTTCTTCGTCATCGGATCCAATGCCCAGTGATATTGATCTACCTATTGCTCTTTGGAAAGGTAAACGCCAATGTACTTATCCAATTTCCTCTTATGTTACCTATGATCGTTTGTCCTCTACTTCTTGTTCGTTTGTTGCCTCTCTTGATTCTGTAGGGATTCCCAAATCTGTTCACCAGGCCTTATCCCATCCTAGGTGGCGTGTTGCCATGCTTGAGGAAATGAATGCCTTGACTGAGAATGGTACTTGGGATCTGGTCGATTTACCTGCTGGTAAGAAAGCGGTTGGATGCAAGTGGGTCTTTGCAGTCAAATTTAATTCTGATGGATTAGTGGCTCGCCTGGTGGCCAAAGGCTATGCACAGACATATGGAGTGGACTATTCTGATACTTTCTCCCCTATGGAAAAATTGACTTCAGTTTGATTATTTATTTCTCTGGAAGCTACATATCATTGGCCACTTTACCAGGTTGATATTAAAAATGCTTTCCTGCATGGAGTTCTTCAGGAGGAGGTTTATATGGAGAAACCACCTGGGTTTGTTGCTCAGGGGGATTCTGGGAAAGTTTGTCGTCTTCGAAAATCACTGTATGGACTAAAACAGAGTCCTCGAGCTTGGTTTGGAAAATTCAGTCAGACAGTAGAGAGGTTTGGGATGAGGAAGAGCAAATCTGACAATACTGCTTTCTATAAGCAATCCACATTTGGCATCATTCTACTTATTGTATATGTAGATGATATTGTTATCACTGGGAGTGACACGAAGGAAATCTCATCCTTGAAATCCTTCTTGCAGAGCCAGTTCAATACTAAAGATTTGGGGCACCTAAAATACTTCTTGGGGATTGAGGTGGCAAGGAGTAAAAGAGGCATT